GCCTGAGGCCAGAACGCTGAGTCCTTGAGTCCCTGAGACCAGGGGCCTAGGGGTCCTTTGCTGTGAAACTTGGCAAAATGCGGTATTTTTGCTGGCAAACTCTCGGAACCCGATAAAGCTGCAACAAAATCTCTATTTTTGCAAAGGAAACTTCGAACGGACGACATTTTTGCTGCCAAACTTCGAAACAGCAATATTTTTGAAATTAACCCCCTCATCTACCATCTCGGTGTCGCCTGGGGGATCACACCCGATGCTATGGCGCAGCAGAATTGCAGAAAGGATCCCGATAACGACACACAATCGGGTGCATCCATCACTTGTTTCATCAACTGCCTCTGCCTGCGAGGTTGTGAGCGAACAATCTCATACTTAGGCGAGTTGTCGTTCTCTCAAATTGAATGCGATAACGCATGGCGATGACTGACACAGCTGCGACCACCGTGTTTCTCTCCAATGCCGTTAATGCCTTCGCACCACCCGGGAGCTCTCGTTCCATCGTCAAGACTTGTAATGCGCAAGCACCCACCACTCGTTCGCCCGCCGGTGCGGCGGTGCCCTCGCTGCACCTTCTGCACATCGATGAGGACCGCTCTCACACTCTCCACGTTTCATGGAAGCGTTACGTTCGCGCTAAGCTGTGACGGCCCGAAGAGCAGCGGAACACGAAGGCGACGTCGCAGTAAAGAACCGTTACGCATACACGCTACGTCGCCCAACATTCCAATGCCATCCTTTTAAGCCATGGCCGCCATCACTCCTCCGCACAGAAGTTCCACCCCAGTCTCCAGTCCAGCCGCCAGGACGCCTCACGCACTAATGTGTCACAACGGAGGGTTCGAAATTTGACATTGGAACGGGGATGTTGGCGCCCTTTTTTTTCGTCAGACCGGTAGGCCTCCCCGCCGCCGCCACTGGACCACGCCCGAGGACGCACGGACATCCCAGCACAATGACGGACATCCACCCCTGCGGCCGAGTGTATGCGTATAAAATTGGCCGCTGGAGACCTCCAAGGTTTTTCCTTGGGACCCATTCAATTAGGATGCGGTGTCCAAGGTTTTTCCTTGGGACCCATTCAATTAGGATGCGGTGTAACCACGACGCCGAAACCGGAAATTTTTCCAAGGACTTCATCCTAATTCCTGAGGATTTTCCAAGGAGGGTCTAACGAGGCCCATAGAAGGACAGAAATCTATGGGAAGGATATACACAGAGCATGAAGGAGGAGATGGGAGCAAATGCAGTAGAGAAAGAATCCCTGCACACGAGTAAGGAGATGGGAGCAAAAGGAAATGGAGCAAGAGAACAAGAGATAGGGCGTCGTTCGACACTCCTCGGGGACGCGATTCCGAGGATTCCGTCGTCGTTCCACCTGTCCTCGGAGATGAAATCGGAAATGAAAATGTGAAAACACTCCGAGGACAAATCCTTGGGCTCCGAGGATTTCCCAGCCAAATCGTCCTCGGCTCCAAGGGACCTCGGACCTCGCGAGGTCCTTGGAGCCCGAGGATCCGTGTTTCACGGAGAGGAGAGGGCATGCACGTAGAGAGACGTTACAACCGAGAATTCTGATCGTGGCGGCACCCTATTGGCTGAAAGCCTGCAGCACAACTTTTTTTCTTTTTTTTTTCCTTTTATTTTTCTGACATTGCTCCGAGGACGAGTCCTAAAACCGATGCTCTGAGGATGAGTGGAACGAAGACGACAAAAACCCTGAACTTTTCCGAGGATTCATCCTCGGAGCCCGAGGATGCCCCGAGGAGTGTCGAACGATGCCCATAGCATACGTGAAAAAAGCCATGGACACGAGTACACGCAAAATGTTCATGCACTTACGAAAAGTCGAAAACAAGAACGAGTATAATGGAAGTGCCATGCTAGCTAGGTCCCAACGATCGTTTCATCCGTTCTCCAGAAACGGAATCCTGGAAGGAAGACGAAGAAATGCAAGTACCGAAATTATTCGATCTATCCTTTATATCACACAGATCCTGCAGCTCATCAGAAGTGGTCACAAATAGATTGCCCACCTCACTCAAACTCGGGAGCACAGAGAGAGAGAGAGAGAGAGAGAGAGAGAGAGAGANAACGAAGACGACAAAAACCCTGAACTTTTCCGAGGATTCATCCTCGGAGCCCGAGGATGCCCCGAGGAGTGTCGAACGATGCCCATAGCATACGTGAAAAAAGCCATGGACACGAGTACACGCAAAATGTTCATGCACTTACGAAAAGTCGAAAACAAGAACGAGTATAATGGAAGTGCCATGCTAGCTAGGTCCCAACGATCGTTTCATCCGTTCTCCAGAAACGGAATCCTGGAAGGAAGACGAAGAAATGCAAGTACCGAAATTATTCGATCTATCCTTTATATCACACAGATCCTGCAGCTCATCAGAAGTGGTCACAAATAGATTGCCCACCTCACTCAAACTCGGGAGCACAGAGAGAGAGAGAGAGAGAGAGAGAGAGAGAGAGAGAGAGAGAGAGAGAGAGAGAGAGAGAGAGAGGAGGAAGAGGAGGAAGAGGAGGGAAGGGGAAAAAGAGAGAAAGGGTGGGATTCCGTGGGAAGGGAGAGAAATCCTGAACTTCAAGCAGAATCTAATTATATGCCTAATATTGCCTATTATGCCTTGCACACACACAGAGAGAGAGAGAGAGAGAGAGAGAGAGAGAGAGAGAGAGAGAGAGAGAGAGAGAGAGAGAGAGAGAGAGAGAGAGGGGGAAGAGGAGGAAGAGGAGGGAAGGGGAAAAAGAGAGAAAGGGTGGGAAGGGTGAGAAATCCTGAAGCAGAATCTAATGATATGCCTTCAAACCGCCTGAAAGCAGGCAACAAACATGGAATGTCAGCATCTCAGCACTGATCAGAAAGGGGGGCTTCACAAAACTGCAATTGACAGAGCCTGTCAGGTTTAAGGGGAGGGGAGAGACAAGAACGAGGGCCTGCAATTCCGACAGCCTGAGGGGTAGACTCTGAGCCACTGCAACTTGAATGACGGAGCTCCAATGAGGGTCGGGATTCTTGGGAACCATTTGCGGCCCCAAGAGGAGTTGGGGCTCAAGAATAGGAAGAATGAGAATCAGGCTCCCCCACCTATGTAATGTTGTCATGTAGACAACCCACTTAGGCTACTGGGTAGTTGTCGGGTTCCACCTGCCAAATTCCTTCCCTTTTTTTTTTTTTTTTTTTTTTTTTTTAAAGCCCTTTTGCGAGTCCACTATCCCGGCGGTGGTAGGAGAACCGCCAGAATTGAGGGCTCAGCCAGCGGGCAAATCCATCTAATAACATCTATTGCAAATTCCTTCCTCTGAGAGTGGATCATGCAGCTGGCAGTAGCTACAATAGGATGTCTATCCAAATATTAAGCAGCTATGATGTTCAGGGGGACGCTGGACCCATTTTCCACCAGGCGTTGCTCCCCACCAATAGATGGAGCCTCCCCGAGAGTGATTGTGGTGTCTGCTCCTATCAGCACCCCTACCGTCTTTACCCGAATAGAACGGCCGTTCGTTATAGCCGTATGTGGTACAATTTGGAGTCCAGATACAGATATAATGACCGGGCGTTCTGTAGGGGTGAAGAGGTAGCACCAGCTTGGGCTGTTCTACTAGGGGAAAAAAAAAAAAACTGCAGTTTGAAATGCATTTAGATACTCAAACCACGACCGCGCCCTAGGTTTCTCTTTTTCTTTTCCCCCCCCTTTTCCCATCCGACGTCATGGCCGACCCCTGTAGTTATGACACCCGGCCTGACACCAGGTCGTTGGTACTGTAGAACTCTGAATGCTTTTTCGGCCTTGGCGCCTGTTTTCTTTGCGGGCGCATGTTTTTTTGTGCATTAGATACTCAAAGGTGACATCAACGTACTTGCCCCCCTTTTTTTCTTTAACTCGCAACAAACAGGCCCAGTCCTGTGCCCATCATCTTCCTAGTGGGACCTAGGCCCATCATCTTCCTAGTGGGACTTAGGCCCATCATCTTCCTTTAAAAAAGAAATTAAAAAAAAAAAAAAAAAAAAAATGCTCCAGTCTATTCGTGGGGAGCAGCACGTGCTGGGAACTGGGCCCAACGTCCCATACGAATTGTACAGATCATTGAGAACATTTGAGAACATTGAGATCATTTGAGATACCGGGGCCATTACCCGGCTTCGGCTGAGATCAGTCTGTGAATATCTAATGACCTAAAGTGGGACCTAGGCCCATCATCTTCCTAGTGGGACCTAGGGCCCATCGTCTTCCTAGTGGGACCTAGGCCCATCATCTTCCTAGTGGGACCTAGG